ATAAACATACATCCAATGTAGTTCTTCAATGAACACTTCTAAATATTAAGAATCTTCTATTAATGATCTTTCAACGCATAAAGTAGCTAAAATGTGTGCTGTAAATCAGTCTACTGTTCTATTATTCTGTTTATTTCGGTAATCTAAAACGAGCGAAGTACTTTTCCTCTGCGTTATAAACATACATCCAATGTAGTTCTTCAATGAACACTTCTAAATATTTAGAATCTTCTATTAATGATCTTTCAACGCATAAAGTAGCTAAAATGTGTGCTGTAAATCAGTCTACTGTTCTACGATTGCGTACGAAAACTTGTAAAGACGTGTTAACGTTCATGACGTTAGTTATTTGCGAGTATTTCATTTTGAAAATGTTTTAAAATTCACGTTTCACACCAATTCGCTCAATTTTAGCGAAGGAGTAGAATCACGCGAGTGATACCTGTTTTTCCAACAAAGTGGATCGAGCAGAGTTTGATGGTCGTTAGCGTGAGTTATTCGCGAGTATCCCATTTCGAAAATGTTTAAAATTTCAAGTTTCACATTGATTCGCTCAACTGCAACGGATAAGGAGTAGAAATTCGTGAGTGATACCCGTTCTTCGAACGGAGTGGATCGAGGAGAGTTTTGATGGTCGCTGGCGTGAGGATGCCAATCAAGAGCAGTCATTCAACTTTAATTAACAAGCCGGGAACGTCGAGCCTACGATAAGGCCTCGGGCCACGGGTTTGTTCTGGTAATGACATTGGAGCGTAATTATCTGATCGGTTCATTCCGCGCCTCGTCTCTCCTAAGGATTTTCAATAAATACTGACCGGTCCATCCTGTTAGCGTTTGTCTATACGCCGGGGCATCCTGGCACGAACGTTCGCGTCAAATCGAATTTCCCGTAGCATTTCTCGGACACTATCGCATTAATTTACCGATAGTCGGCCATTGCAAACACGTTCGGGTAAGAGTTCGTTTACTCTGTCCCACGTCAGAGTTTTAGTGTTGCTCAACTACGATCAGAGGGCTGGGACACACTCGAAACGCCTACTAATAGGCGTCACGGGACTAGAGTTGCGCAAATTTCATTTCAAATAACGACTAAACAATTCTTGCATACTCCTCTCGAGAATCGAGCACGTTTATGTTCGTTAAATGAATTTTTTAAAAATATCAGGTTATAGGGGATAATGAGACGAAACTTTCTTTATATTAACAGTTTATTCATAGGGCGCTTAGTTTCGAAAATAACAATTGTAAAGCTTGAAGTTCGTTTGAAAAATTGAATTTCAAGAGAAGAGGTCTATTAAGTTTTCAATTTTTATCACTGAAACTAAACGTTATATGAATAAACTGTACATATAACAGAGTTCCGTCTTATCGTTCCGTGTAAACGGATATTTGTTTAAAATACACATCTCTACGCCGGTTAGAATTTCCAGCAAAAATAGTCCCGCAGTCAAAAGGTTAAAGGAGGAGGTCATTATACGGGACGTTTTCGAGACCAAGTTTCACACGTTTCACGCTCGCTAGTTGTCGTTATACACTTAAAACCGTAAATGCCAGCAATAAAAATGAATTCATAGAAATCGATATCGCTATCAAAAAGATTTTAAAGAATGGGAGAAAAATCTGAGTTTCGAGGCGAGAGTAAAGTGGTCGAAATAAAATTATGATCTAGCTTTATTGTTCGCTTGAAATACCCGGGGACAGATTTGAAGCTCGTTTATGAACGGAACCGGTGAAAAAAAAAAAAAAGGGAGAATTAAAGTTGGAACCGGGGAGGCGTCAAAGAGGGGAATAAAAAAGAGTGAAACGGTCGGAACTGCCATGCGCGAAAATCCGATGGAATTGATCTCCTTGAACGAGGTTCCAACTCAAACGCTCGCTCAATTTCGAGGTAAGATAAAGCTACACAAATCGCGACCATGACAAAACGTGACAGCAGATAACAGCCCGAACGCCAGTGAAAGGTAGATACGGCACGCGACATTTCCATTTTTTAAATTGTTCCACGAGCACGTGCAAGCTTCAAACGTCACCCCTTTCCAACTCCCTTGTCATCGTGATTGCGGAAGTACGATACACTGTAACTTCTGACAAATTATACATACCGATTTAATAAGACGAATAATTTATTAATAACGAATAAAAAGACCAATGAAACCTCGTTTTACCCGTTTGTCTTCATGTGTCAGATGATAATCCAATTCGATACGGGCAATACTCTTGTTTAGAGGAAAAATGTGTACGAGTTAATGGAAATTGAACGATAATACCTATATGAAAAATTCAAATACAAACAGAATGCAATAGATGCATAAATTCTTAAATTTGAATTCAAGAAGATTGCGCCAATATATTATTTGGATTTGCACGATTTTCTGTCGTATATAGTGATGTTTATAAGATCGTATAAAGACAACGTGGTGAATTATGATTTTTGCATTGGCACGAATGTTTTTCAAGTACTTGATTCGGTCTACTCAGAAATTCACATAATTCATGTAATTCATACGATTTGTACGATTCGTATGTCTCGTATGAACCGTATAAATTATATAATAAATTTAATTCACACAATTCATATCGTTCGTATATCTCTTGTAATTCATAGCGTTCAGACGGTTTGCATAAATAACGTAAATTACGTAATTAAAATAATTCGTAATCGAGAAAATGAATAATATAAAGGGATTAATTAATCTCTTTCTAATAATTAATTTCTTTCTTATTAGCTTCGAAGCGTACTGTTTTATTATACATTCTCGTTAACTTTGAAGAATACACCTTCGAATGCTGTGACCAATCGCAATATGATCAGTTGATATCAAGTAAGTGGAAAAACAGAGAAATAGGTGGACAGAACGTATCGCCCTGTGTTTGCGTTATACGAAAATTATAATCGAACACTGGAACCGTTCAACGTACAAATTTACGTTTCGTTTTCGAGTGTTCCGAAGCATTGGAAATGTTGACCAATTCACGGGGATTGATTTGAAACGAGCGCGCGAACGCATTTCTCGGATGGCTAGTGTCAATTAACGGTGGTTGCTCCATTCGAATAATTACGGAATCGATGTCGGTCATCCAAGAGGCGCGCTCGCTCTCTGACGTCAATTGGTGTTAGCTTCGTTGAATCGAATACATTTTTATATTTAGCTTCTGTGCATTTTATATTCTTGGATATGCCGTTTTTACGAAAGTGTCCTGTAATAAATTATCCGTCGAGTCCTGCATTATTTGATCAGAGAAACTAGCAGTTCGTAAATGAAACACGTGTATCAGTTATATTGCATTTTGTAAGTTTAGTTAATAGTAATAAAAATGCTCGATTGCTTGTAAACCTTAATAATAATAAAATGTTAGAAGTGAACCAATTGATTTTACAATCATGAAGGTTTAAACATATTATACGTTGCATTGTACCCACTAATGTAAAATCGAACAATATTGAATTCCACTTGCGTGTGCCACAATTTTCGTTAAATGTATATTAATAGCAAATACAATCAACGGTTTAATACAGTCGTGCAACGCGTATACGATATTCTCAATCGAATCATCCAGGCGACTCAATGATTTATACATTCATCCAAACTTTATATGACGATTCGTACGCAACGTAGCTTTAATTTCCACGTGTATCATTATCTTATTTACGTTACTAACGAATAACCTCGAATTTTCCATTTACCGTATAAAGAGTGATCCTATTGGGTTCATTAATAAATGACACTCAATATCGCGTAAACGCTTCTGACTTTACAAATTTATCAAATTTCAGACTTTCCTTCTAACGATTTATTCTAAAATAATAAATATTCGACAAAATCATATCCAAATTTTTGTATTCTTTTTTTGTACCTTAAAAATATAATTAAAAAAAAAAAAAAAATTTGACTTTTTAAAATCAAAAGTTACAGAGCCTTATGCAGCGTTATAATGTCATACAGAAAATTGAATGTACCTAAAGTATTGAGATTTTATACGCAGAATGACTTCAAAAATTGGATGGTTTTGTTAAAAATAAAAAAAAAAAAATAATAATAATACAACAAGTACAAATACACTTGCAACATTATAAATAATAACTAAATAATAACTTGCAACATAGTAAATGATAGTCCTATTGTGGGATTTAACTTTTTCCTATTTAACTTT